TCTAGTTTGCCTCTGGATATCCAAAACCCAAATTTTCTGTTTCAGAAGCCAGCATTTTAAGCACTGTTCTGCTCTGCCACATAATGCACAAGCCTTGTCTTATTTATCTCTGCACTTGTTCCTGTGTGTAGGAGAGTTTCTGGCATACATTAGGTCATTAATAGATCTTTGTTAAATAAATACTAGTATGTATGCATATGTAAATAAGTGAATAAGTGAATTAATCATTTCAATTTTATTATAATAAGATATTGATTTAATTGAGCTTTCTAAAAGTATTTTGCAGTTGTCTAAAAATCATTTCAATAGCATCTGTTCTTTATATTTTTGGTAATTAAAGCATTTAAAATTTTAAAGCTGATTCTCCCCTTTAGTGACTTGGTAAAACAATCCAATCTTACAGATAAGCCTCAGTTTGTTTACCTAAAAATGACAAAGATACTCTTTTTATGCTACTTCACATCATTGTCGTGCAGATCTTGTGTAATGATGTATTTTTTGAAGAATCATACAGGAATTATTATCTAAAGAGCTGTAAATTGGGAGATAGGTTTTCTTATGATGGTATGAAATGTTTTTAAACATTGTTAATGCATTCCTATATGAATCTGCTCAGAGTACCTAGCAGTAATACACAGTTGAATTTCTTGAGTAATATAAAACCATTCTCAGGCTTATCAGGCTAACCCAGATGGGTCCTAAAAGAAGATTCTTGCCATAGAAGAGTCTTCATTTGCACATGTGAGTTCCCATTGATGTCAAAGCAAATATCAACCAAGAAAAGAAGCTCTTAAACTATCTAACTGCTCAGATGTCTGACACAGGATTTACAGGGAAGAAGGATAAAATAAAATATAAAAATATCCCTCATGGTGTCTTAGAAATGAGTAGATCTATGTAAAAAAAAATCTCCAGGAAAAATGGTCTTCTGACATGAAGCAGAATTAAAGGTTCAGGAAAAAGAGTTAAGGAATAACAGTAAAGATAAGTTAGTTTAACTGTAATTGGTATCAAAAATATGTATGAGGACCAGAATAAGAAATTCCTGCATAATTTTCATCACACAACAAAGAAACTCAGCCAGTGTCCGGGTTACTAAGGGTTCACAGAAAGGATGGATGAAACAAGCATCAAAGAAGATGGTCTAGGGTACCAAACAATTCCTCATATTAAAATGGCTAAATTATTGAAAGATCTAAAATTATTTTGGGTTTACCATAATATCGGCATATCCTGAATGAGGAATGAGTACATGGATAAGGCAACAAGAGGCAAGAAAAAAAAGGAAGTGGTATACTTTTAGTATCATATGAAGTTATTATATACATTGTCAAGCCATATACAGAAGCTTGAAAACCTCTTTGGCACCTCTCACCTATTGCTGTCCTCATTGAGAAAGTGTGTTGCTCATCAGTAATGGATTCACTAATACGCATTGCTTTGCCTGAAAAGAGGGAGAGGTGATTATAGGTTTTCTTTTAATGGAATATTTCATGTAATTCTCAACTCCTATGAAGATAAAACTTCTAGGTATTGAGCATCATGAGATACAGAGAAAGAGAACTCAGCATCTGCTCATGGTGACCTCAGAGTATCTATAGAGAAGTGGCTTGGAGGAGGCAGCCTTCCAATTGGAAGGACTTGTAGAGGGACGGGGTTAGGGATTTCATCTTGAAATCCTATTTGCATAATAATCACAATGATTTTAATTAGATGGAATGTTTATTTTAAGTGACTCTGGATACCTGATACAGACATAGAGACCATGAACTCTGACCACCACCGAGATACTCATTGCTATTAATAGTATGAAAAGCTGAGAAGAAATAGTAATGGGAAATAATAAGATGACTATAGAAGACCATGTATAAGGGATTGATGGAAAGTGGAATGTTAACATTCTGTTCTAAAAAAAGAATTGAGAGATGAGAGATCCCTAGGTGGATCAGGGAAATATAGGGAGCCTAATATTGGAGTGCTTCAGTTAGAGATGAAAGCTTAGGGTGGATTTGAAGAAGTAGAAGAGGGAGCACTTCTTAGGCATAGACATTTGGAGAGAAACTATTTTGAGAGAAGTCCTTCAGTCCTTCCAACTACCACATAGGAGGAAGTGTACCATATATCTAGATATGTAGCTCTGCTAAAGTCTGAATTCCAGAGATCTGCATCCATGGTGTTGAATGTTGCTCTAGTTCTTTGCAGGATGTAAAACCTTGTGGACCTCTTCAAGTTTAAAACGTGTGTGTGTGTGTGTGTGTGTGTGTGTGTGTGTGTGTGTGAGAGAGAGAGAGAGAGAGAGCAAGAGAGAGAGAGAGAGAGATCAATTGTATTATCTAGTATCTATAGTTGAGTGCAAAAATGATACCTTTTATCTTATTTATCAGATCTGGTCCAGTAGATGGTTAGTGACTTTCGTGCAGTATTCTCTGGGCCATGGCCTCGTTCAGCAAGAGAAACATGTCTAGATGTTATTAATTCACGCCCTGAGGACAGATAAAACACTGGACAATAATAATACATATTTACAAACCCAGAAGTAATATGGCATGGCACGTTAAAGTGAGGCATTTGATTGGGAATTCTAACTCTACTGCTTTTACCTGAGTGACTCTTGGTATAATAATCAAACATTTTTGACCAAACATTCTGCATTAGCGAAATTAGTTTACTAATTATATTATAGAATTTTTGTAAAAATTAAGTGAAATCACCAGTACTGAACCTTGAGTAGCACCTGAAATATAGCAGCATCCAATAGGTATTAGCTTTCTTTCTCATTTTTACCAGATTAGTGGCAAAAGCTGTTAAAGAGACAATGAAACTGTATTCCAAGCTGTAATGTATATAAACAACATTATAAATAAGGTAAATTGTAATCTTTTCAGATAAGCATCATGGAAAATAGCTACCATTGTCTCCCATGAAATGTTCTTTTGAATTTATCAGATATAAATCAGTACACAGGTATATCATTCATCTGACCATGATTTCTTTCAAAAAAATTTTTTTTTATGTTTTATTTATTTCTAGGAGAGAGAGAGAGAGACAGCATGAGCAGGGGAGGGTCAGAGAGAGAGGGAGTCACAGACTGAAACAGGCTCCAGGCTCTGAGCTGGCAGTCAGCACAGAGCCCGACGCGGGGCTCGACCCCACGAACCGTGAGATCATGACCTAAGCGAAAGTCGTACGCTTAACCGACTAAGCCACCCTGGCGCCCCCCCATCTGACCATGATTTCTTTTAATGATATATACAAGACATATGGATCAATTTCAGGGCTGGTCAGTGAACCATAAGTCTACTGTGATATTACTAAATGTCACAGACTGTTTTTATTTGAACATATTAAATATTTCCTGCTTTTTCTTCACTTCATTGAAGTTCTAAGATTCATCAAATATGATTACTTTTCTTCAGTCTCCTTAAGAAATACTTAGTTTTTGAGTTCAGGTATCACTCTTAGGTTGTGCTCTGCCCTTCTCATAATTTAATGATTGGCTTCGGGCAACTTATTTAATACTCATGGACTTGACTTCCCTGCCTGTAATAATATAGTGTCCATATTTGCCCACCATAGCATTAGACTTGTAAAAGATTAGCAGCCTAAAATGCATTCAGAGTATCATGGGTTCTTCCTTTGTCATCGACATTTGCCTCCTTAGGGGCCTTGCATTTTGATTTCATAGCTTGATTTTAGTGCCTAACAAAAATCCAGCAAATTTAAAATTAAAAAATAAATAAGCAAATATATAAAATAACCCCCTGAAATGTCTGGATTACTGTTGTGTTTATAGAGTGATTAAAACTGAGCACACACGTTTGTTTTAGTTTTGGGTTTGCCTTTTTCTTTTCTTTTCTTTTCTTTTTTCCTGCAAAGTAAATCTATGGTTGCTTTTGTTTCTTTGAAATTGGGTATTGTAACAATACTACTAAAAGCTTTCTCATCTTGGATAGGGATTCTTTTGTCTATTCTTTAGGTTCTCTGTTGTTCTCTGGAGGAACACAGTGAATGCTCAGCACTTAGGACCTTAATTAGGTACAGCCTAAGTCATTGGAAAAGCCAGGATGTTGTGAAAAAAGAGAGGTGGGGAGAGAGCTATGGATTGATTAATCATAAAGATCCTAATTCTGGTGTAAAATGGGAGAGAGATCACACTCTTAGCTTACATTAATTCATATATAAAAAGAAGGGGAGAAGATATCCTCTGGTGGCTGAAGTGACCATTTCTGGAAGAAAAAACAATAGTTAGTAGGTGTTTGGTAGAGAAAACAAAGATGCTGTGTGGTAGACATTGGAAAAGAAGTTCCACTCTGGTGAAATGAAAGTGCTATTGTTTACCATCTGGGAATCAGAGGAAGGTTTGAGGGTTTTTGAGATGTCAACCTTTTCTAAGAGACCTATAGGTGTCTGAAGAGCTGATAGAGCACATGAACCTTTATGGGATGAAGCCTAGGCTTCTAAAACTCTTACAATTTGTGGATAAACTCAAATGGAAAGCACCTGAACATCACCTGTTGTGAGGAAAAGGTACAGGATATGCAATGAGGAAATTTCCAGTTGAACATACCAACCATTGAATTTGTATCCTATTAATTATACTTCCTAAAATAACTTGGCACAAAATCTGCTGACAAGAAATAGCTATGGGAGAATGAGGGGAGAACTCCCTCATTTAGCTTAATAACTGTCAGGTATAATTTAAACCAAAAAAGTAGTTTATATGTTTGTGGTTACGTGTGTGTACTTATATTTATCTATGACTTCAAGCGTCATCAAAGATATTATATTCAAATAGAGTTCCCTGGTGGTTTTAGAGGTAATTTTTCTTTCCTGAGTCCTAACATGCTCATTTCCAAATGATATGAACATGCTTCTGTTTTCCCTGTGGTGCCTTATTGTTGGGTATGTCATGGTTGATGTTCAAGAAATACTTAGTAATTGATGGATTAATTCTTCATTCTATTTAATGTAAGCCTCTGTTTTTCTCCTCATTTAGATTTGGATACTGAATTCCTGGCATCTCCTTGAAACGTTGCACTTGAATTTATCTGGAAATGGAGGAATGCTTGCGAAAAGGTAAAGCTCTACACTCACATTTTGCTGTGTTCACTTTAGAAGCTGGGTGGGTTAACAATAACATGGACATGTAATAATTGAATAGTTGAATTGAGGTATCCACCAGATCATATGGAATTTCTTCCTGGTTTTAGACATAAGGAAACTGAGGCTGGAGAGAGTAGAGAGGATTTGTGGTAGCTAGCATAAATGCTTTGAATGCTTCAGTGTTTTATTTTAGCACTGATTTTTTTCTTGGCAATCCTGTCTTCAATTCTGGAGCAATTTTAGACTCTTCAGATCATAATTAGTGATAATTTAAATTGCTGTGTGATAACTACATGTCACTGAAGGTATTTAAGCTTTGTCAGCACTCCCGTGTCCTGTCTGTAAAATGGGAGAGATCATCTTAATCCTTTAACCAGTTGGAATCACTAGTTGAAGATGTGAAACATCCTTATTATTCCAAAAGGAAAGCACAGGGTACTTTCTGCTAAGTGTTAAAAGCAGACTTTGGAGGGGGTGGTCATTCTTCAAACCAATAACATGACTTTGTAAACGGGCCTCCTACTGAATCAAAGATTGTGCGGATGCAGTATGATGAGAGCCTCTTTCAATTTCCTCCTGTGCTGCCAACTATTTAGTCTGAGGCTGTTTACACTTCCTTGGATATAAATGATTTTATCTCCATTGCTGACAATGTTGAATTCAATGTCCTTCTTTTTGATACAGTATTTGCTGAAGAAATTGTATTGATTTACCGAGTCTCTCTTCTGTAATTCCCCTAACATCTCAAGGCCTTTTAGGTTAACCAGTTTCTTTCAAACACCCTTCAAGACAAAAACATATTGGTTTTCAAAATCTCAGCAGGATCTGGCAGTGCGGGAATCAGTGTTGGCCTTAGTAATTAATAATTTAAGTTTGTATAGCTATCTTTACAAATTCAGTTCTAGCAGCATTTAACTTTCTATACCTCAATTTTTTAACCCCTAATAGTTCTACATTTTTCATGATATATTTTCTTCACATGTATAGGTGAAAGCAATGATTTATCTGTCCGAAGTAAGGAAGAAGCAAGGGAAATTAACTCCCTCCACCCACTCCCCCTTTAGACAATCAATAATTCCTGTTCTCATCCAGGGTTTAATCATTGCCTGTCTGGATTATTGCAGACTTCTTCTTGGTCTTTCTCTCTATGACCTCCCTTCCCACTAGAGAATTCACAAACTTTGGCTGAATTCATCTTGCTCTCCTCAAAACCATATTACTAGTCTTCAAGTGTCTCTCTCGCTTTTGGAGTTAAGTTTGAATTTCTTGATTGTGGTCAACCTAGTGGAAACCAATTTAATTTTCTTCTACCCTGAAGTCAGAGTGCTTTTTAGTTCATCCATTTTCTGTAAGTTGTCAAAAGTTCTTTAAGAGAGTTTTCCAGATGGTTTGTTGAATGTGAGAAGTGACTTTTCAATCATATTCTGTTGGTAAAATGTGACTCTTAAGTGTGAGTTTAGCCCAGAAAGTATATAATATCTGCAGTGTGTACACACTGTTGCCAATAATGCAAGCAGCTCTGAGTAAGCATCCTAGCGGTACTGTAGGATACTTTTTCACATTTATCATTCAGATTGGCATAACTCACATGGTCATGATGACAGCTTGCTGTCAATAATGTATTCACCAAAGCTGCATTGTTTTTAATTTAAACATCTTTTCCCCTGCTTTGTGATCCTTTGGGAATACTTTTGCATAATATCACTTTGCTCAAAAGCAAGGGCAGGGTTATAGGTGAGTAGAAAGATGAATTAGGAAGGGTAAGAATGGAAGAAAGGACAGAAATGATGAGTCATATACCAGATACACAGGAGCTGCCCTTGCAGGTGATGGGTGACTGTCTAAAATCTTACAGACTTGCAGGTTTGTCCTGGGCTATTTGACCTACACACTGATATTTCTTCTAAGTTTGATTGATGGAACTACTTTTTGTGTACTCTTATTCAATTTATTTCATCAACAAATATGTACCAAGGGGATACCATATTCCTCGCAGTATTCTGAGGACTGGACGTGGAGTGGTGAACAAGGCACACAGGCTTCTCTAATGGTGCTTGCTTTCTAGAGAAGCTTGAGGGCGGGCTTGAAACAGAACATAAACATGTAAAATAACAAATAGGATGACTGAGATTGTACTAAATGCAAGGAAATAAATAAAAATAAAGGAGGGTGTGCATCAGAGTCACAACAGAGTCCCCCCTTAGATCATATAGACTGAGAAGGCCTCTATGAACGGGAGAAATTTCATCCCAAACCTGAGTGATAAAGGGTCTTCTGGGTGATAAAGAGTTGGAGGCAAAGCATTTCCTGCAGAGGGGGAAGACAAAGAAAGGTGCAATCAAGCAGAGGCTGGTGACAAAGTTCAGACATATGTGCCACAGAAAGGAGTCTGGGTCTTGGTTTAAATACAGTTGGAAGAATTTCACCAGAAGGCTCTGGTTATCTGATTTACATTTTAAAGAGTCTGGAAACTTTGTGGAGAATGAATTAAAGGAGAGCAAGAATAAAATCAGTATGTGCTTTATCTAGTCCATTGCTAAAACTGGGGACACCATCCGCAGATCATTAAATTGACTTTCCCCATATTCAGCAAGTATAAATAAATTCCTTTTTGATTCCAAATATTGCAGGATATTGGACACTTTCTCACACGAGCAACAATGGTTTTCAAAACTCTTCCATGAGTGTTTGTTAATTAAGAGTTATGAGGCAGTTGTGGAGGTCTTGAAGGCTTCTTGCTTTTATCAGTTTTGTTTATTTATGCTTTACTCTGCTTATGGTTTGGGTACACAGAGTTTGTGACTAAAATTCACTGGGAAACTACTAGTGTTAAGATCTTGTGTATGCCACCCTACCTGAGTATCTTTAAAGCTCATCTCTTGGCACTCCCTCTCTGGCACCTCATGCTCAATCCTTTCCTTTGTACAATTATGTAGAGTCCTCAGAATGTAACTTCCAACTTTGCACTTCTCTGTCTTGCGCTTTCGATTCTAGCTGGTTGGAATGTCTTGTCATTTGTAAATGCTTTTTGAGCTGTTAAAAGTCAAGGAAACCTTTCTTTTAGTCTCACTCTTAGTTTGTTCTCATGTAACACTTTGCAAGAATCATTGTACTAGGACTTGTCTCTAGTCCAATATTTTATTCTTTACGTTTGACAGAAGAATTTGTCTTTTAATTGTATTCTTTTCACTTCACCTACTGTAACTGTTAACTTTGATATATATAAACTATATATTTCAGCAAAAAAAGGTAGGGATTATATACTGAAAACTATAAAACATTGCTAAAAGAAAATTGAAGACTTACGTGTATATAAAGACATCCATTGATCATGGATTAGAATAATTAACACTGTTAACATGAATGTACTTCCCAAACTGATAAACAGATTTAATACAGTCCCTATCAAAATTCTAAAAACTGTGGCACTTGGCTGGCTCATTCAATGGAGCCTGTGACTCTTAATACCAGGGTCCTGAGTTCAAACCCCATGTTGGGTGTGATGGAGACTACTTAAAGTAAAATAAAAATAGGTCAAAATTTCAAAAGCCTTTCTTTTTTAGAAATGGAAAAGCAATCTGAAAATGCATATAGAAATGCATAAAACCCCAGAATAGCCCAAAAATTATCAAAAAACAAGAGCAAAGTTGGAGGACTTACACTTTTCAATGTCAAACCATATTGCAAAGCTATAGTAATCAAAAACAGTTGGTACTGGCCTAGGATAGACATATAAATCAATAGAATAGAATTAACTCCAAAAATACACCCAATTGGTTTTCTGTTCGATTGGTTTTCCGCAAGGGTGGAAAGGGTCTTTCTCTCAGTGGATAAAGAATGGTCTTTTCAATAAATGGTGCTTGAACATTCAGGTGTAAAGGAATCAAGTTGGACCCAAATCTTACATTGTATGCAAAAATTCACTCAAAATGTATCAAAGACCTAATCCTAAAGTTAAAACTATAACACCCTTAGAAGAAAACAGGGCCAAACCTTTGTGAGCTTGGATTTGGCAATCCATTTTTAGATATATCACCAAAATTCCAAGCAACAAAAGAAAAAAAAGATTTTGCTTCATCAGAATTAAGAATGTTTATTCACCAAAGAACACTATCAAGAAAGTGAAAAGACAACCTGCAGAATAGAAGAAAATATTTGCAAACCAGATATCTGATAAGAGTTTAATATCTGTGGTATGTAAAGACAATCCTAAAACTCAACAACAAATAGACAACCTAATTTTTGAAATGGGCAAATGACTTAAATGTGTATTTCCCCAAAGAACATACACAAATGGTCAATAAACAATGAAAAGATACTCAGTGTTATCATAGGAAAATGCAAACCAAAACTACAATGGGATGCCAGTCTATACCCTCTAAGATGTCTATAATTTAAAAAGAGTGAGAAAAGGAAAGGAAAATAAATGTGGGTGATGATAAGAAGAAATTAGAATCCTTATAAATTGCTAATGGGTATATAAAATAGTGTGATTGCTCTAGAAAACTGCATAGTTCCTCAAAAAGTTAAACAGAATTCCCATAAAAACCAGCATCCAAGAGAATTGAACACAAGTGTTGTATATGTGCTGCCGAAGCGAGCACTGAACACAAGTGTTGAAACAAAAAGCTTGTACACAAATGTTCATAGTAGTAGTATTCATAGTAGCAAAAGGTAGAAACAACATAAATGTCCATTAACTGAAGAATGGGTAAACAAAATATGGTATGCCCATACAATGCGGTTCTGTTGAACCTTAAGAAAGAATGAAATGTTGATTCTTGCTACAGCATGTATGGAAATTGGAAGCATTATGTTAGGAAAAGAAGTCAGACATACAAGGCTGCATATTGTATCATTCACTACTGTTCACCACTCACTATTTATATGAAATGTCCAGAATAAGTAAATTCTTTGGTTAAAAGGCATTTTTATAAGGCATTTTCTAGAGATACCATTCTACTCTGATCCAT